GATCCATCCTGAAAACTGCTTCTGCATCAAATTGCCTAGAATCGCTGGTTCAACCGGTGAACTGGTGAATCGGTCCCAATTCCTTTGAACCGACCCATTCAATTGCCTAATTAATTAAATGATTAAATAAAGTAAATTATTATATTAAGGATTAAATATTAAATAATATTCGCAATTTAACAAGTTAATTTAAATTTAAATACTTAATTTTTAAATAAACATGAAATTTTATCATAATTATTTGCCCCAAAACACCAATGAAGCATCTTTACATGTCTCCAACACTTCATGTGTGTTTGTAACACATACAAAATCAAAAAGCTATATAAACAATAATAAGAGAAAGCTCCCAAATGATGCGAGACTAAATAAACGAGTTGATGTTATAAAGCTTACAACATATCTAGTATAAAATTTTAAACATGTTTTTAATTAATTCTTTATAATGTGAATAATATTTATTTTGTAGTTAATAAGAATAATTTATTTATTTATACACTATAAAAATAATTTTTATCTATTTATTAATGAAACATAAATAATTTTTAGATGTAAATTTATAAAATAAATTTGGAATATAAACTATAGATGTAAAGATATAATATAAAATTAATAATAATTTATGAATGCATATATACATTAAATTTATATTAAATGTGAATTAAATATAAAAATTAAATATATTTAAATTTAAGATTATAGAAATTATTATTTATGTATATTTTTAATCATAAATTTATATTAATGTTTGATTATTATGCTATTATTATTTTATTTAAATAAAATTTAAATATTAAATGATTCAATCTGATGGAATCATTGAATCTGATCATTTTTTTCTTTTCAGAAAAATTAAAGAAAAACGCCCTAACTTAACATATCGAATACATGACTCAAATCCAATTTCTGTAGTTGATCGCCAAACACTCAGGAAAGAGCCTAGAAGAGCTGCTTATATCAGGTCACATCTTCACGGCAGCCATCCTTCCGAAAATTACGTAAGAGGACAAAATTCCCGCTCCCGCTCTTTCTCAAAACCCTAGCCAATCTCAATTCCAACTCCTCTGCTGCAGCTTCCCTTTCTTTCCCGATCGTTCGTTCCATTCCATTCCCGAGACCAATGGATGAATCCGGGCAATATCAAGCGGCGACGAATCGGCCAAGGCGATCGGTTCAATCAAAGCTCTCATTCTGCGTCAGTTCTCAAGGCTGCGGACCAAGAACTGTTGCAACGCCACAACCGGATGCAGTGGCGGACGATGGAGGAAGCAATTCAGAAGGGAGACAGAAGAAGGGTAAGAGAAAGAGGAACGAGAAGTTGAAATCACAGGACGGAGTTCCCGAAGAGGTAACTTTATCTATCACCTGGTGCGATTTTTTAGCTAATGGTTTTATGGGAAGTTAGGGACGTCTTTTGTACAATGAATCTCAACTTACATAGGTAAAACTCGATCCTAAACTGTTTCACTGTTGTATAAAACATTGATAGGCCAGCTCCACTATTAAATAATATTGTTTTATTAAATGAGATTGATTTATTCAGTAAATGCTGTAATATATTAGATTGATTGTTATACTTTTGCTTTCCTTAGTTATGTTTATTTTAGCTTACCTTAGGCTGGTAATATTTTTTCATTTAACGGATCCTAATGTCTTGGCTTAAATCATGAGTCAATTGATCTTTGTTGTGACTATATATTACGTAGTGTTCTCATCAAATTTTACTTTGATTTGAACCGTTATTATTCCAATTTGTTATTTATTGAACTTGACATTAGAGCACCTTTTTTGGTGCCTAAACTTTCTTTCTTCTTCTTGCTAATTCCATGACTAATGAGGATCAAACATCATCACAAAAATCTCTCGCCAACCGCCCCAGCACTAGTGGTGTCAACTTTGGTATGGATCCATCAAACCCATGCTACATCTATCATTTTGATTAACCCAGACATATGCTCATCCACACCAAATTAACCTTCTTGGGGTAGAGCCATGATCCATGCTGTCATGACCAAGAACAAAATCATATACATCAATAAAGCTATTTCAACCACTGTTAGAAGTTGAAGAATCTGTTAAATATGCACTTTGGAATCAATGCAATTGGATGATCTTATCATGGCTAACTTACTCAGCAGAACTAGACTTCTCCAAAAATGTAATTCATGCCATAATAGCAAAACTAGATTGAAAATCTTCGAAGTTCAATTCTTACAAAATAATGCACCAGCCATCTATTGAGTCCATGAGTTCTTAGCTTCACTCAAGCAAGGTATGATGACTATTTCACCGTGTTTTATCAAGATTGAAAGTCTTTGAAATGAGTCAGAGACGGATCAAGCCCTTTCCGCCTGCAATCAACTAAAAGCTCACCATGATTAGAGGGAAGACAATTAACAAATTCAATTTCACATGGTGCTCAATAACAACTATAATGTTGTTCTCACCAATGCCCATATGATTATGATTACACCATTACCCAATATGTGTCATGCCTGCTCTTTAGCCATTCAAGAAGAAATGCAGCAACAAATGATATTAGTATTAATCAAGAAATTTTTTCATCGCTGCAATAGGGAATGGTCGAACAAATTGTTGCTTAAATAATTTCAAGGATGGGTACTACAATCATTGTAATAGATTTGTTCATACAAATGAAAACTTTTGAACATTGAAATTTCATTATAATCTTTGTGGCAAAAAGGTCATGCATAAAAATGCAAATGTAAAATTGGGATATGAGTCCTTAGCAATGCAAGAATGCAATGCAATTGACAAATTCAAGCACAACAACATGTCCCTTGAGGAAGCGAGTGAAAATTTCTCTCTATTGCTAATGTTGTGGAGTTTTCATAGTCCACACAAGAAGGATATTTGTGTGAAACCAGTATGCTCATAGTTTAAAACTATGCAATATATTGTGCACCTTCATGTTTGCCCCAAAGAAAAGTGCATGCAAAGTTCCTTGAGGCTAGTGCCTTACATAGGGGAAAAAAGGCCTATGCTGCAAACCACTAAGGCGTGCTTTGAGATGTTTTAAAAGAGGCATACATCTCTACTTTTAATTTTTGTGATAGAAAAAAAGAAAATAGCACCCTAAATGGCCCAAGTGATTTTATTATTTAAAGCAAAAGCTTTTCTTTTCACTCTACTAAATATTATAAACTAAACCCTAATTTATAAGAAAAAACCAAAGAACAAGAAAAGTCATAATTACATGAGAAAGATCCCAATATTATCTTTTGCGATGGTGGAATGAAGAATAATAGTAGAAGTTAACAAGAAATTAATAGAAAATGTTAGTATAAAATTCTATGTAATATAAATTATAAAATATTTTAAATAATAATATTATTGGATTTATTGATAGTGGAAGAGTAAGTTAATTGAGATTGAAGATGATTTGGAAGATTGAGAGAATATTAATACATGTAAGGTTGAAGGAGACAAGAAAAACAATCAACTACAATAATGATTTTAATAAATACCTTCTAAATTATGGGAGCAGGGGTAACTTTTAAATTCAAAGTCGTAAGTCATAGTTAATTTGTTTCAAGAACAACAAAAATTATAATTACATGAGAAAGATCCCAATATTGACTTTTTGGTGGTGAAAGGAACAAGAACAACATAAGTTAACATGAAAATAATTGAAAGGGTTATTATAAAATTATATGTAATATAAATTGTTAATATAATTATTATTTTAATTTATATCTTAATTAATATTTTATTGGATTTTATTAATAAGATAAAAAAAGTGAATGAGATTGAAGATAATGAAAATAGTTTGGGAGGATATTGATAACAGTGAGTCTGAGGGAGACAAGAAAGCAATCAACTATGATGACGATTCTAATGAAATCCCTCAAAATGATGTGAAATGGAGCGACTTTTGAATTTAGGATCTCAAGTTATAATTAATTTATTTTAGGATATGTTTATTTATTTATTTATTTTTAAATTCTTGTTTATATTTGTTTAACTTAACCTTCTTGCTTATTGTCTTATTATTGAGTGCTTGTATGACTTTTTTTTTATGATGTTATATTATGATTTAAAACTATTATTTTTAAATGCTATATTTTCATATTTTAATTCATTTAATATTTTTATTTTGGCTCTTACGCCTCAAAATGTCTCAAGGTTTACACCTTACTCGCAAAAATAAAATATTTTTTTATACTTGATTTCACATTAAATTCCTTGAAAACTTGACGTATTTAGTAGGAATTTAATTTCCCTGTTCCACGAAAGATATCTTTATGACTCAAAGAAATTATGTGCCGGACATCTTACTAGATTATGCTCCTATGATTGCATGCTTGAACAAGTTTCCACCAGAACAAATTTGTAACTAACATATGAATTATCGTTGAATGAAACAAGTATAGAAGACTGATTGGAAGATTAATCTATTTCAAGTCCATATATTATCTGTTCTGTTTGTACCTTAAACCAGTTCATGCATGAGCCCATGGGCCCTGAAAAACTCATCAGGATGCAGCCATATGCATCCTCAAATATATCAGGGTTCTCTTAGACAAAGTTTATCATTTTCTTCTGCCAACAATCTTCCTTTAAAAGCCTTCTGTGACTCAGATTGGGTAGGTTGCCCTGCGACAAGGAGATATGCCACAAGATGTTGGATTTTGCTATGGAACTCTCTTATCTTAGAAAACCCAAGAACCAATTTTTTTTTTAGATCATATGAGAAGTTGAATATCGAGCTTTGACAAATACATATTTGGAGGTAACTTGGTTGTCACATTTTACGAGACTATACAGGTACTTTGTGACAATCGTACATCAATACATCATTATACATCGTTTATAATTTCATTTTTCATAAACATGTATAACATATTTAGATAGACTATCATATTGTTTGTAAGAAGTGACAACTTGGCTTGATTTGCCCTTCTTATATACCCGCACACCTTCTATTAGTAGACATTCACAAAAGCATTGGGGAAGGACTAATTTATTGCACTAAATGATACGTTGGGACGTCATGATATTCACTATGAAGTTGAAAGACGATTGTTGTATTAAATAAATTTATTTCCTTACTAAATGCTATAATATATTAGATTGATGCTGTATTTATGTTATTCAAAGTTATATATATTAGCTTCCTCTTTTGATATTAATATTTCCTGCAGTTAATGGATCATGATGTCTTGTCTTAGATGGTGGGCTAATTGATCCTTATTAGGCTATATATTATATAATATTCTTATAAAATCACACAACAAATTATTGACTTTGATTCCAGTTGTTATTTCTCTGACATGTTTTTTCCTTACATCCAAAAAATAATAATTTGATGTTTTGGTTATGTAACTCTGAGACGTTCATGATGGTTCACCGGATTAGTGCGAGTCTTCCAAACAAATTTTTTAATTTGTTTCACCTACATTATTTTGCTGTTGATGGCTATTTTAGAATTAGTTACTTGCAATTTCTTATTCTATTAGTGTTTCAACAGCAGGAGAGCATTTCACTGTTCTCGGACTTCTAATTTGTGGATTTGCCATTTGTCATCTAATTGGATCAATGACTATCAATCAAGATTTTACTTCTGCAAGCTAATGGTCAATCTTAATTATAACTGGCCTTCAATTTCACAAGTGATCATGTTTGTTAAGGGAGCACATGCTATCATATACTTCCTTTTTTTGAAGTAATTGAATTGGTTAATGTTACTTGAGAATGAGCAATTGATATTGGTCCGATGTATGCTTGAATTTTCTCTTTTCTTTCTTCATGAAAGTATTGATATATAATACTGCCCTTTCCCAATTTTATTCTACATGCACAGGCTGAATCTCGAAACTTTGTCTTAGTTTGCAGATAATGGCAAAGAGGCACAAGAGTTGAGTGTCCACAGGAGAAAAAGTTAGTAAGTTGATATAGAATCCCTGTTCTTGGCAAAATAATATGTTTTTAAGATCCACACTCAATGACATTTTTTCCACAGAGTTGCATGTTCTTTCATGATGAAGCAGTAATCACCATCAGTTGGTTTTTGGTTCCAAGAGATCTAAATTCGGCCATTTCCTTAAGCGTTGTTGGCCTGGACACGCTAAGTGATGGTGATTCTGTCTAATTCATTTATAAAAGAACTTAAAATAAGCATTTTATTTGCTTTTTTAATTTTAACAAAATAGAAGGAATCTAAGCAAGTAGTATTATTCTATTTGGAACTGTATACTACACCCCAAATAAAAAAAATCCCGATCTTTACACTTTGATTTAGAGGTTCCTTTTTTTATATTTAGCAAACTAGCATTCAACACCAACATTTTGATGAAAGGTTTATCTGTTCAGGTATGCTTTCTCATCCCACAAACCTGCTACTCAGCACCACCCATTCGCATATTTTGTAGTTTGATACTTTAGAGAGTTGATACATTATTGATTTTAAGTGGTGGTTAAACAAAACGATACGCACATATATCATATATACTGTGCTCTATTAGTCTTGGGCTATGGGGTTCCTCCTTATTAATTTTATCATACAATGCTTATCTTTCCACCTAGCTAATGATCTGATAGAATATGTGATATGCTTTAAGAAATTGATTCCCTATTAGGTTCTCTAAGATTTTTGGAAGTACCGGTCTTGCATTTAAGATTTAAATGCATTGTTTATACCCAAAAGTATTTTAGCGGCATTGCAGTATTTAGTAAGAATTGTGCTATCATTACTTATGCCATGCATCATCTATAGTGAGAAGGTTTAACATATATGTTATTGTTGACAAAATTTTTGTGTCTACTTGAATTGGCCCCAATTGGGTTTGATTGAACTTGAACACGTTCAACTCAATTGAGCTTGCGAACCCAATTTGACTCAAATCGGCTTTGATTCGAGTTTAATTTCATCAAATTAGCTCGATTGAATGAAAAGTGAACTTAATTTGACTAAATAAATCCAAATTAGGCTTAATTGGGCTTCATTTCGCTTCCAAATCAATTATTTGCGATCAACAACTACGAAGCCCCCAATTTTCAAACTTGTGCTGCTGCCCTCATGTCAAATCTAGGGATTTCTATGCATGTAGCAGAGATTGAGCGGCAGATAATCATTTTGAGCTGCTGCCTTCGTTCAGAAAGGACACAGAATGAGATCGAGAGGAGGGCTATTATATTTGAGTTCCTTCATTTTCCTGCTCCCTATGTGCATTTTCTTCTAGGCTGAGTGGAGAACCTCTCATTTCTACTCATGTGTGTGTCCGAAGGAGTGAGCAAGAGGAGTGGAAAGAGCGGTTGAGAGTAGTCTTCTGCATGAGGCTAGAAGAGACGAACGAGCCTCTTGTTCGTGCTTACTTGGTGGCGGATCGAGCTTGAGAGAGCAGCCTCTTTGTGTGGTCCCGGGTTTGGTTCTTCTAGATAGGGACGAGCCACCTTCGTGCTGCATCCAACTAGTGTGGAACTCTTATTGCGTCACTTTCTTGTGCATCTCAAGCGACTAGAGGAGATAGCGGGAAAGAGAGCTGAGAATCCTTTCTCCTTGTGTATACTTAGTGGCTTAAAGCTTCTCATTCATGACCTGGAAGGCAGATTGAGCGGCTAAAAGGCTTCTACTCGTGTGTTCCTATGTGCAATCAGAGACTGAAGCCAAGAATCTTTTGTTGTTGTTACTATTCTTTAAAAAAAAAGAGAGTACAAGGCTACTTCTTTCTTCCTCTCAAACAAAAAGAGGGGGAATAAGAGGACAATGAAGGCATTTTGTGTGGGGGAGACATTTGGAGCGAATTGAAAAGTGAGCTCGTTCTTCATCCTTCAATTATCTCGCCTTTTTCAATTTGAGAGCATGCTGGCTAGCATCATAACTTGTTTCAGTGAGGTAAAATATCAAAACTTAGGAAAATCTAGGTCTATCGGCCTTATGGATGTGTGTATGATGTTTCCAAACCCCCTATGTCCCTAGAAACCCTGCATTTTATTTTTTTAAACCCAAAAAAATTCCTACATCCCACTGTCCTCTTGAGAAAGTTGTGGAAATCCGTTTCCACAATTGACTCTCATGTGAGAGCCAAAAGAGAGAGGCGATGAAGTGCTCGGTCATTGGACTCATGTCCAATGTCCCTATATTGCATATGACACATTCATATTGGAACCTAGCCGTCTCCTATAACCAAACCATATGCTAAACATCGTCGTTTGACTCTAAATTAAATGATGATGTGTAGGTTTCCAGCATTGTTAGTTGCTAGTTGCATTCATTCCTATTCCAATGCTCATGTCACGACAAAATTGACATATAATGTAGGAAGTCATCCAAATTTGCTAAGATGCTATTCGTTTGAGGTTTGCAAGTGTGTAAATATGCTCATTTAATTTCAAGTGTTTGTTAAACTAATATGAAATATCCTATGGACCCTTAGAAGTCCGTAGACTATACTCCATCTCATTTTAAAATTATTTAAGCTTATTTATATAATATTCTAAATTATATGGAGCACATGAGAGGGTTCTTAATGTATGCGTTTTTCTTTCAAAGCATAGAGCATGACAAAAATGATTTTCAAGCATAGGAATTTGCATATATTGAAGTTTATGAACTTTTCATGAATTTTGTAAATGCTTGAAGGTGAATTGAATCCATTTAGAAAGTTCCAAATTATTGTGAGACTCCTCATTGACATCCTATTGTCTATGTTATTAGTCCCACAAAGGGCATGGTTGATTAAGTTCGTCTCCAACACTTTGCAAAGTTGAAAAGAAAGATTTGAATGCTCTAAATTGCTGGAATTCCTAAAATGCAAATCACATTCGCACACTCCTAAATTTGCTTAAATCATGCAAAAATTGATCTTTAAAATTTGTTTGAAAGCATCTAAATGAACCTCTCCTATTCAAATGAGCCCAAAACACTCAAATAAAATTAGGAGCTATCTTTCACATGCTCATTTACCTCATGCATGATACTTTGGAGCATCCAAAGGCTCCAAAAATTTTTATGACATGAACCTTAGCATCCTTTAGGAGCACCACACCCTCAAGGATATCCTAGCTGAATTCTAATTTGAGTTGAACCAAATTCAACTGGAGTTAACATACCCAATTTTTTCTCGATGATTAATCTCTTCATTGACTAATTAATTACTTTGTAGAATGCTCTGTTTTTTTTTTATAATGTGATGCTTTCTTTTAGCCTTCTTTTTAATGAACACTAGTACTAAAAGTCTACACAACACCATGTTTCTGTGCTTTTTATCGAAATGTAGTTGTAAGAATGTTTGGTTGATGCCTTTTGTTAGGCGGTAGAAACTTGAAGAATAAGCAGTCTGGAGGTGAGACACCTGTGAAGAATAGAACACCAACTAAATTTGGGCGCCCTGAGACAAGTTCAAAGAGAAGGATGTCAAACGGAAAATCTGATAATGTTAAGGATTCTAATGCTGAAAGTCAGCCCTTTTGTGATCTCTGGTCTGAGGCAAAGAAAGCCGCTGAGGTATTTCTGAACTTCCACTTTTTCAGAGCATGCATCTTGGATGCTGCGGAAAAGAGTGTTTATTTACATTTCTGGGTTTCATATGCCATTCAATGATACTATAGGATAAATTTATATATTTAGTGCTTTGCTTTTACAAGCATATTGAAAACTCAGGCATGATAGAAATCTTTCATTGAAATGCTAAGCTTTGTATGACCTGCCAAACTGTTTTCCTTGTGTATAGCAAATAACTCCGCTTGTATTGAAATGCAGCAGGGCCCATATGTAATATTGTCTGCATTCTTTTTTCCATCACGATCTGTGTTGCCAAAAATGGAAGCTAAAATGATGCTGGTTCTCTATGTTGCATTCAAAGTGAAACCGTTGAGAGGTTGCTGTATTTTATAGAGCCATTCCAGTGCATGCATTTCTAGTATGGGCTGTCACTATGGGATTCATAGAGAATAATGTGCTTGTGGGACAGAAGCTTGTAATTTCTGCCTGAATTAAAAATATATATATTTAAATGAACATGTGCTTTGTGATTGTCTTGTAACTTAGGATCAACCAAACAAAGCCTTAGATGAACATAAATTAAATTCAAAATAATTACTCTCGTTGACGTTATTTAGTGATACAATGTTCATTTTGATTTTGGAAATACACTTTACCAGTAATAAACCATTTTCATGATAGCATGAATAAAGAACTATTTCGATATCTGTTCAAGGCTATTTAGTCTCCAATGCATCATTTCAAGTGGTTGCAAGTTGCACGATGAAATAATTCATATCTTTTTGAGTTTATCTGTTGGCTCTAACATCTTTCACAATCTTGGGGATAGCCAAAGAAATCATTGTTCAATTCATTGGTTGCTTGTTGCTTGTATGTACTATTAATTTCTTCCTATTAGTGGTGCTGTGCAACTGTCTTCGATTGACGAAGTAATTTCTCAGGTTGTAGAAACAGCTGCTAAAGTGTTTTCAGATATAACATAACTCAGTTTTTGAAAGTGCTCAGATGACACTAGAAAGTGCTCTGATACCACTTGAAAGTTCGTTAGGGATGTTAGGCCCTATGAACTGACCCAAAGCTAATTAAGAGAGGTGAATTGAAAAAAAAAAAATCTTTCAATCAAAACACAAATCAAAACCAATATCACCACAAAGAAAACAAAATGCGGAAGTAATAAAGGAAAGAACACACCAGATTTATAGTGGTTTGGTCAAACCTTGACCTACGTCCACTCCTTGGAGGCACCTTCCAAGTATTGCACTAAACTAAGTGTCTCTCCTTTAACCCCCACAGCTAGGCGGAGAAGCCCTTACAAAATTTGCGCTAAACAAATGTCATTATAAGATTGGATTCAAATATTATTTAAGTATAAATGATAAAAAGTTTTAATTATTTTAAAATGATTTACTATATGATGTTCATAATCCTTCATATGAAAAGAACAATAATTAATGCTTTTAAAAGTTGATAGATTCACACCAGTCATATTCATATATATTCAGAGGTTACTCATCAATCATTTATCATAATTTCTTTTATCCATAATCATTTTGTTAAGATTCCCTAGATAAGAGGAACTTAGTGAACTTTAATGACCCCTAATAGCATAGTTACTCTAGGCATATTAACTCTATTATCCAATCAAATCAACGAGAGGGTATAATTGACATTCACATCAGTCATACATTAACATACATATTTTATATATTATGTCATTAGCAACTGCTATAATAATTATTTTATAAGCAACATGATCAAATCTTATTTTATACAAAAAGATTCCAATATTAGCATGAGCAAGATTTATGTCACATAAATCAAGACAATGTACATGTAAAATGAGTTATGCCAACATATGGTCCATTTTAAGATAGAAATTTTTTTCCAACAATTATCATGGTAACCATTATACTAGACAACACATGACATAACAACATGATCATACAACTATTCATGTGCAAAGCAAAATTGAACATGACATGTATGAGTTATAATCTATTAAATGTTTAAGTAACCCATTAGAAACATCAAAGATAATGCCTCTAACGGAAAGCCTTATATTTGTTTGCTAATAAATAAAAATTAACTACCTCAAAATGTGCTATGGAAGTCCAATGCTTTATTGATATTGAAAGAGACAATGTTAACATAGACCAACACGAAAGCCTTAAATAATAAATATTTTAAATTAATAATATATACCTATATGTATGCATTTATTTAAAAAATTTAAACACTTATGTCAAATTATGTAGAAATAGGGAAATCTTTTTAATCACAAGTTCCTCTTTAGTTTCATGATTTCTACTTAAGTAAATTATAAATCAACATTTAAATTAGATTTGATTAACTTTCTAATAAAATAATAAAAAATGAAAAAGATTGGGATTTGATAAAAAAATGAAGATACAATAGGTGAGGAAGAAGTCCAAAAGTTGTAATGATGAAGGTGAATTACAACATTTTCAATTTGAGAGAGAAAAATTACAATAGAAGAAGTCAATGGAGGTGAAGAAATGATTGATTTATTTTACTATATCTTGTTGTCTAGGTTAGAATTAAAGAGGGGAAATGGTTGTTGTCTACTTGCCATGGGATACAAAGGAAGGTTTCCTAGGTTGCGGCGTTACAATGAAACTAGTAGTGGAATGTAGAGAGAGTGAGAGAATAAGAAATCATTGAGTTACTTATATGTGTGTCAACAAGCCAGCATACATAATGATTAATTGGCAGCTAGAGGCCATGGGGGATGGTTGCAGAGAGGATAGGTTGCTAGCCAAACAGAGAGAGTTAGATAAGGAGCCCCACATAAGGTTTTTAAGTGCTCCAAGCTGACTTGCTCAACAGGGGGAGAGGTGCAATGAGTGCATGTCACATAACGAGAGGTTGCTCTCATGAGCAACATTGGGAACATGGGTATGAGGAAATATCCAACCCTTGAGCTTGAAAGGTTGATGAGTATCACAATGAGTTAGAGAAAGGATGAATGCTTGATGGTGAGTAGGGAGGCACCAAGTCATTGAGAAGGTTTGATGGGTGTCTTAAATTTGAGATGAGCCTGGTGGGAGAGATTGACTATTCATGTAGTTTGTATGTCCTCTTGTCCAGTAGCATGTTGCCATATGAAAATAGTAGGGGTGTAAATAAATGACCCGACCACGAGCCAGACTTGAAAAAAATTCGGATTTAAGTTGAACCGTTTAATCTGGGTTTAAGTTGAACTGTTTATTAAACAGGTCGGATTCAGGTTGTGTTTTCCAACATGTTTATTAAACGAGTCGGTTTAGGTGATAGTATTTGCATGTGGGGAAGAGCTAATTACAATTAGGGGTGATTTGGAGTAAAGGCTAGTAGGTGGAGGTGGTATGTAAGATTTTTGAGTAGGTATTTGGGCTTTTGCATCTTGGGGATGGCAAGTAAATGAATTGATTTTAATGAAAATAAGATAGCGAGAGATGGATTTTTATTTTTTTCCTTTTTCATAAGATCAGGTAAAGGATTGTAGGAGTCAGCTCATCATGTGGAGGGATAAGGAGAAACTACACATGCAACACTCTCTCCTTTGAGTTAAACCAACATTTACAGTAGTTGGATTGATTTTGTTGGTAAGCTTTGTGGTGAAAACTAAATTCCATAGGGTTTAAATCAATTTATTTGATGAACACAAAAGTTGTAGAGGATCAAATCAAAGATTTACTCTCCAAGTTTCATGTGATTTTGATGATAAATGGAGAGCTATATGCGGGACAACGAGCTTGGGTTGAAGCAATTTACATTTGTGCTTCTATTTTTGTGTAAGCATTGCGATTGGATCATAATTGACCAAAGTTGTGAACACATAAGTTATTGAGGATCATTCTTGTCACATTTGACTTCATTGGTGACCATGCACGAGCTCATTGTCATTGATCTCAACTTTCATGCGGTTGATGGTGAACATTTGATGCTTTTCTAACAGATTTTGTTTTAGCGATCAACAATGCAATGCAATTTTATTTGATATGAAGTTGAGAAGTATGATAATTTAGCTAATGGATCAATTGACTTCTAAGCGTGATATGTTTAAGTGTATGAGATCTATTTCGCAGAAAAATAAGAATATAGATGTAGAAATAACATCTGGAGTTAAAGTTGGGTCGTTAATATGAAGAAGTGTCTCAAGTTTATTATATTATAAGAGAATTTTACAGGGACTTAAAGGTGAATTTTAGAAAATTGTAATTATTCTAACAATATTATGTATATATTATTGGGTGATAAGAAGTCATAAATAGCCATGTTGATCAGGGCATAAATGAGAATATTAAGATATATTTGTACTAGAACTATGAATGATAGTTTTAGAAATGATGATATAAAATAATTTGCGGGAGTAAGACCCGTGGAAGATAAGGTGGTAGAAAATAGACTTGGGTGGTTTGGGCATGAAGAATGGAGGGCAGAAGAGCACCAATAAGATGAGTAAATAAAATTAATGTGGGAGGACCGGAGGACTAAGAAAAAGGGGTGTACCAAAGGTACGATGGATAAACATTTTCAAAAAAGAATTCCATCAACACCAAACAAAGTTGAATGGAGAATGGGATTTGTAAAGCCAACCCTAAATAATTGAGATAATGCTAATGATGACGATAATGATAAAATAAATGATGATAATGGTCTTGCCAGGGTTTGGTCATTGTTAGTCCAGTCCATGTTTGTTACACAGTGATCCAACCTTTCTTCTTTTGTTCAAAGGGTTAATTTCTTTTACGTCCTTTGAGGAATGAAAGCAGTTTCGTTCTTTTTATAGTAAATGCAAGTATGTCACAATATCTGATTTCAAAATTTGAGAAGAAAATGCAAAATGTTGTTTTGGTTGTGCTCTGCCAGTTTTTCTTTGCGGTTCATGTGTATGCACAGCTTGTCTGCATATTGTATATTGATTGCCTAATTCCTTAATAAAGTTTGTTTTTTACTCATCTCAGGAGAACGTTCGGTTATCTGCTGGAAAGCAAACACATCCATTTTTTTCCATCTGTAGAGCTGCAAAGAGGTCTTCAGACATTAAAAACTTAGAAAAATCTGAGAACCGAAGCTCGCTTGGTCTTGAGGGGGAATACTGCTTCTGGTTTCCTCCGTTACATGTGGTTGATAGTGTACAGGTAGTTGACTAGTTTTGTTAATTTTTCAAGTGAACATTTTTGTTGTTTATCTGTCCCTGCATTATTTCATTCTTATTCTTAATGAATTATAATAACTCTCTAGCTGAATTATGATGAAAAGTACTGTTTTTATACGGTGATGTTGTTGCAGGATGATGTTGCCGTTCCTAATTGGGAAAACTGGAAATTTTTAGAGACAAGCCTGCCAAAATTGGATGGATATTGTAGCATGAAAATTTCATCAGCTATTGAGGTTTCAACCAAATCCTTGTTATTGGAAGCTGCTTGTGGAAAGGACCCTAAGTTGGATAATTTATTAGTTGATGAGAAAATGAATGGTACATATAAGACAACAAGTTCTTTTAAATTCCCAAGTGAGCTTCTTTCAAAAGAGAAGTTATCTTCCCCCTCTGAAATGGTAATTATCCTGCGGAATTCTCGGAATAAAATATTTGACATCACTTTTGCATGCCCTCCTTCATGCTGTACATAAGCTTCCACCATATTATATATAAGTCATCTAACTTTTTATACGTTTACTGTCAACAGGTCCACGTTGGTTGGAATTTTTCTCTGTCATCAGCCCATGGTAGCATTGCAGATGACCAGGATCAAGATAAGTTGAACAATGCAAGGTTGGCAATCTGACTAATTTATATACAATTTCTAAGCTATGATATAAGTCATAGGTATTAGTTGAAGAAAATTTCACCAACATCTCCTAGTAACAAAACTTGACGCCTTAAATGCTCATTTTCTTGCTGTTTGGCGGAAGCTTATCCAAAATGTGTAACCGCAGCGGGCTAAGACTTTACCAGTTGGAACCTTACGCACTTAATTCTCGGCTTGCTTCTCAACTTGCCTCAATTCTTCCAAAAGTTCTGCACAAAATGTCTTAAGCACATTGTATCAATCACATCAGCTACTTTGATTATCGATTCCTATCTCGGTTAATTACTTGTTTCTCCCATCTTTGGAGACCAATCTTCTCTTTCCTTAATTCAATTTATTCCTCTAAAGAATGATTTTGTAGAATTGGTTTTCTTTTTATTTAGTTTCTTCTGATTGTTTGCTAATTTGTGAGTTTTAAAGATTCCAATGTTGGTTCCTTCTTATAAAATGATGATTTTGTGAGTCTCAAGCCTTCTTTGAAATATTTTGTTCCACCTTTTCTATTGTTGTTCTTTAACTTGGCTCTCGACATATTTGACTGGCCCCTTGGCAATTTTATGCTATGTATCATTCTCATTATTTATCCTATAATTTATAAAATCATTTGTTGATATTAATTCTGAGCTCATTCCAAACGCATCAATGAAAGAAATCCCATATTTGTATCAGTGTATATGTATACATTCTATATTTATATATTGATAAATAAGTTAAAATCTTTCTTGTATTTGCATACTAATTAGTTTTCAAAACTTCATACACCTTTTTAAATATCTGCTTCATGTTTTGAAATTTATGCTTTACCCTAGTAATGAATGTGTTTTGTTTCGTGCTCTCTGTTTTTAACCATACTATACTGCAGAAACATGGTGATTGATAGAATTGATTGCTTAAATTTGAAAGCATGTTTGTTTCGAAAAATCTAAACCAAATTTCCGGGATATTAATTGTTATGTTGATGTTTTGTTTTTTCAATAAAACTTGATTATTTTTGGATCTATTTTAATTGAACTTGATTATTCTTGCATTAAGAAAGGATGTTTCTTATAACAAATTGTGCTGGTTGAAACAAGGCTTCTTGTGATGATCGTCTTTCTCTAGGGAAGTTCAACAATTACTTCAGTCATTTAAATTAAATTTCTTGAATAGGCTGAAGGCTCAAAGCTTTGATGGTTGGTTGAATCATTATCAAAATAATGGTTCTTTACAGCCATCTATCTTCTTTTGGCTTTTTTTCATTATATTCTTTATGGCCAATGCATCGGGTATGGATTTTATGATAATTTTCAAATCTTACCCTAAAAATGAAAATAGCTCTTTATCATGATTAGAAATATCGTGGAGCTTGCAGGTTTTAGCTTTGTTGTGTTAAAATTTTGAAGTCTTATGCTTAGTGTCAAAATAACTTTTCTGACGCTTCTAAATTGAATTAAGTTGTTCTAGAATCCGCTGAATCTTCTCAATAGCTTATTCAACTAATTGAGGTTTTAAGAGTTTTCCCTCACTCACCTCAAACTAGTGCAAAGGAGATATGCACTTCTTATTGTAAAGGGCCTCATATGATGCAACGTCAATGCTAGCATGAAAACTATTGTTGTAGGCAAACTTTACAAGTGGAATTCAATCTTTTCAGTTACTTCCGAAGTCAAGAATGCAAAATCTCATCAAGACGTGTGTGTGAAATGCAGCTTTGAAATCTAACTTCATACTCAAAATTTCTTGCAGTTTCTTACATAATCTGTAAGTAAATCTTCTATCTTCGTCTGACACAATAATGTTTGCCATCCCATGTAGTCGAAGAATTTGACATGGTATGAAGGCAAGAAGGTTCTTTGGATGAGAATAGATCAGGATAAAAATGCAAGTAGTTTGAGTCTTTCACAATCACAATATATTTCAAAGTTGCTAGATATGCTTAACATGATGAAGGATAGACTATAATCATATCATTTGCTAGTCACTTCAAGTTCGTAAAAGAATAGTCACCAAAAGACATACAAAGAGAAGTATTATATGGTTTAAGTATCCTATGCATTGGTAGTTGGGCCTTTAATGCAAGTAATGATTTACACATGACCATGTATTGGACATGTAGTGAGAATTAACAGTCAATATATGCCAAATTTAGGAAATGAACACATAATGCTGTAACGTAGATCCTACATTAGCTAAAAGATATAGTCAATCATTGATTGAAGTTTGAAAGATTTGGCTTGAAAACTTATGGATATGTTATTATGGATTTGAGGGGAGACCGCACAAAAAGTACTATTAGGTACTTCCGCACTTTGGGTGGAACCAACATGAATTAAGTGTCTTACTATAGAGGATAGCTGAATTATTAATAATAGAAGCTAAATACATAGCTATCACTCTCAAAGCTTTTTGGAAGAATTTGATTAGTCATAAGAAGATGCACACCCTTATGATTGCCATGGCACCACTCATTTGGAAAATAATTTTTCCTTCCACTCCTGGACACAACACATTTAAAGCTAGTATCACTATTTATGCAATTTTTCTTGAAGCTAGTGTTTTATAGCTCTTTAAGATAAGGGGGGCATAAAACCCCCACTGATATGCTTATTAAAGTGGAACGAGGAGAAAAAATGAGGCTTAGTAAGGCCTTAGCTAAAATCCATAAATGATAGTTTGAAGGTGACACAGAGGTTTTTGAGCGCTGACCATAAAGTATTTAAATTAAAAGTCATCATGTATGCCTTCAAAATTGTTAAAATTATGGATTCAACATTTTCTCTCATCAAATATTTACAATATATGATTGTGGCTCATATTTATTGCAAATATTGATTGAGATTTTCAAATTTATGATTGATTTCTTGGGCTATGAGCTTTTTTGTTGACTATAACAGATTTTATAAACTCTTTTATAATTAATTATATCTTAATATCTACGCCATAGTATTGTTAGGCCGGTCCAACCTGGACCGGCCCAACCTGGACCGGCCAAGCCGGTCCGGGTCTTCTCCAGGCGGAAGCAAATCGCGGGACAGCAGGCCGGCGGAAATGAAGGGGAGTTCGGGAGTGGGGTCCACTTGGAATTCAAACAAAATTGAAGTATTTTTGGAGGGAGAAGGAAGGGTAGAGAGGTCCTTTTGCTTTTGTTTTGAATTAGAATGCATTAAGTAGGGAGAAAGAGAGGAATGAGGGTTATGTGATGTTTTGTGGGAATTTCTTGTCTTCTTGGATAGTGAGGGCTCTAGATCGGGATCTAGAGATTGGGAGAGTGCGATCCTCCTCTCGAATAGAGGATCCTCGTATCTTTACTATTTTCCTTGCATCTACTAATAAAATACAAGTTGTTTCTTCATTTTGCTCTCAGATTTTCCCTATTTTCTACAGTTTTTTTTGGCTGTTTTACTGTTGTGGACAGCAGTTTTCATCTGGGATCTAGTTGGTTTTGGTGAGAAACACTTGGAAATCCAAGTGTTTCCTATCAAATTCATGTTTACCTTCAACTCTATCTCTAGTAAAGAATATATCTAACAAAAACATCCTTTGAGAAATAAGGTAATATACCTATCTTAAGGGGAAAAAGCTCAAAATAATCCTCCAATTATTTGAATGTAGCCAATTTAGTCCCAAAGTATAACATATCCCTAGTTTTATCCATTGACCATAAAAAATTGATCCCAATTTAGTCCCTCATAGTCCACTTGGGATCAATTTCGTATAATCAAGAGACTAAATTAGGATTAATTGTTTATCTAAATTTTCAATCATTTTTATATAAGAAGACAATTTGAATCAATTTTGCATAGTCAAGAGACAAAATTGGAGCAATACGATAATCTAGATTAAATTTGCCACAAGTGAATAGTGAGGGCATTACTTTGGGCTTCTTCACTTATCTAAAAGAAAAACAATGATGTGCATCAAAGTAAAGAAAGTGTTTTTTTTAGATAATTACCTCTGAAGAGCATCAAAAAGCTGTGCAAACAAAGTGAAACAGCATGATCACCCTATGTTTGTGAAGTTGCTTAAGTTTTTTACATTCTATCAATAAATGGATGAGTTCTCTACAAGTTACTAATTCTTTTTCCATAGCATATCCGCATCAATAAGTTGCCTTAAACAGAATATGCATATGAAATGGTCACGTAATTTGAGAAAGAGAAAAGAATCACCTCAAATATTACTTCTCTGCCAAAGTTTGATCGAAGTAGCTCATCAGCAGTGTCGATACAAGTCTCGATTAGACACTGAGACATTTAGCCAAATTTACCAATTAACATAAGCCAAGAAAGATTGTTTCAGACTTTACGGTAAGCAGATTGCAGTGATAAAGTCAAACATCTCAACCAATGACTTCCGCTACTGATATATAAAAGAAAAGAAGGCACCACACGTACCGCAACTCAACTAGTGAAAGAAGACGGGAGCAAGTTTGCTAGAGGAGAAAAATAACAAAACTTAAGAAACAAGTGCACTTGAGTAAATGATTGAAAAAACCATGTGTTTAAAAAGACAACGAAATCATTAAAATTGAAGTGCGGCAATGCTACCTCTAAATTAAAAGTTAAAAAGGATTAAAGATATAGATTTTCCGATATAAATGCATCAGCACGGCACTTAAACAGATAACAGCAGCATATAAGCTAAAAGATACAGAAACTGAAGAATTCATTACGCCAAGAATACAAAATCCACTTAGTTGGAAGGTCACAACCATCAAGGAAAATATCACAACCTATGCTTCTAACAGTATGCAAAAAGAGTTAACGAAAGACATTTTGGATATAGTTCACAAGAGAACAGTAGAAAAAGCTTGCAGACGGAAAAAGATAACACAATTGAATGACTAGCAATACAATACATGAACTAATGAAGAAACCAGTAAAGTCCTAAAGTGTGTGGAACATAACTGAAAATTATGACCTACAAGATGCATAGATTGAAGAATTGAGGATTATCCTACATATAACTACATGATAATAATCTC